TTTGTTAGCTACAACTCCAATAACCAGACGACCGCACCGCTTTAGTACGCTCAGGTTGCATGTATAGTGACTGAGACTTGGGACTTTTCAGCTGTCAAGCCTCTCTACCCTCCCTTTCTAGAAACGCGAAGAGCGTCGGGTGCAGACCATACACCACAAAAGACGACAGTCTTCAAGTGAATCTGCTTAGTAGGGGAGGCGGTCACATGGCGCGATCCCATTGGCATTAGAGCGCACAGTATCCAGGACAACTCGTCCGTATCACACAGCTGCTAGACTTCAGCAATTGATCGATGTGATAATTTGGGCCCTCAAAAATCTCGCTGAGTCCCAAAGATCTAAAAAAGAGTGGGTAGCTTCGTTGGCCTGATGCCAAGGCAAGAGGAACGGAACAGAATGTGTTGCGCGGACGAGTTGTCCGGCCACAGCAGGATGTGGTAATTACGGCCTGTGCGCTCCAATGCCAATGGGATCGCGCCATATGACGCACACCCCATTTTAATGGCGATGCTCAGCGCGGAACATTTTTCGTTGCGGGAGCTCTTTCGCTGCGGGAATCTCAGGTTCACCCATGAAATAGCGGTGGACCTGAGGTTCCCGTAGCGAAAAATGTCTACCACGCAAAAAGCGGAAAAGTCGCGTTCTGTCCTAGCGACCCACACCCCTATTTCGAAGTTGTCAATTTGCAGCGAAATAGTAACGGCCCCCGGGACTAAGCGTAAGAGGTGTAGAAGAACAGAGCGCCGCGCTACTGCGTCGTATACCTACGGCATAGCATCAGATCGACCTTTTTATTTCTGGGGCCGTATCTATTATTCGCTAGGCTAGAGGAACAAAAAATCCCTTCAAATTTCTTTGTCTTTCCAACAAAAATCGCCCTGAGAAACTGCATATTTGTAATGTATATATGTGTGTAAAAGCAAACAAGTGCGGAAAGTAAGGAACTATGTCGTTGAAAACAAATAAATTCAAAGGACTCTTTTGTTCCCCTAGCATGAGGAAGATAGGATACGGCCCCCGAAATACTAGTCGACACATATTCCCAAAGAGTCGGTACAAGTTGTGTTCCTATAGAATTCACACCGGTTAGTCCATTGATGACCACCGTTGTGCATGGAATGCGGCAGCATTTTTCCTATTTTTTCAACACTAACCGTTTCCGTTTGGAGATTTTATCACCAGTAATGAATGCACTGTTTTCACACCCTACAATGTAAACTGGCTGGCTTTATTTATTTGGACACGACAATGCCAAGTAATTCGCAGAACGACCCCGTGTGAAAGGGTAACCCGCAGGCGCTATGCTGTCGTCAATGGGTTAAATCTGGGCAGACTGAGTTTTAAGGAAGTTAGTTATTCAAGTAGAAGGCGAATTCAACAGAAACCTGGGATTGCTGTTGTATTGTAGGTTCGGGCGAATTTCTTTCATCTGTATTCTCATTCAATGAGTTTCAGATTTCCACTCTTGGCGTGTAGGAGGAGTGCCATTGCCATCAGTAATGGAAGCCGGGATTTATATAGATGACGGTATGCTTATTAATTTCACTTCTCATTGAGTTCCTCATGTAATGGAATGGCTCTACTGATTACACTTTGTTTTTACTCTACGGTGTGGTTCGCTAGGGACGGAAAGCGACTTTCGCTTTCGACCAGCACGAACTTTTTTACGGCTGCGGACTCTGTCATGATACAGAGATATGAACCCGAAGTGCCGACAGGCGGAAAGACTTTCGCGCGCGAGAAGCGGAAAAGTTGCGCGTGTTCTTTTAGCCGCCGTCAAACTGCTAATCTACTCGTATCAGGACGGAGTGCGCTGCGGCGGCGGGGGGGGGGGGCACTCTAAAAAAAAGTCATCTAGGACTAAGCCTAAACAGCAGGGACGAACTCCGGAGAATACGAAAATTGCTTCCGTACACCGGAGTTCCTCTCCTCTTCAAAAGCTTAGTCCTAAAACGGAGCGTTTCCGTGATTTTGACGCGATGTTGCGAGGTGCCCCCCCCCCCCGAGCCACATATTGGCGCCCGACGGTCTTTCCGGATTGATTTGATGCGCAGCATAATTCACAAGAATTTATTTTCATTTTCGGAGAAGCATTTTCGTAACGGCCGATATCACCCGAGCTTTTCTCTATTACTGAGTGGAACAGAACTATAACTCTTAGTTTGTTATTGAGTTAAGAACTATTGACGTGGTAGGCGCAAAACAGAATCCATGGTCTGATCCGAGCACATCCCCCCCCCATGGCTGTTGACTAGGAACACCTGTCTTTTATTGAGTTTTGAATTGCAATTATTCTTGTTGCGAATTCGACAGCCTCGGCTGGGAGGTTGCTAAAGGCATTGCTTCACGATGGAGTTGAAATTAAAGAAAAACAAATATGGCCGAGGTAGGAAGTCAGGTACATCACATGAGGAGACAGTTATGAGCTGACGTTGCTGGGCATGCAAAAGTGAATAGAACCAGCAGTGTGTAGACGTTTCGATCATTAATTGCTGAGGCGGAGTGACCTCAGTTGTGTCTGTAAGAGTTTATATATTTACTACAGAATCAATACATATACAGACCCACCTACAAACAATTTCACTGTTCGAAAACTTAAAGTTCATAGAGTTTCTGGGAATCTGTCCAGAGATAGGAAATGTGACAAATTTCATGGCGAGTTCAGATACGAACACAAAAATCCATGTCGAAAACATTGAAAAATTTTGTGCTTATTTTTTTCAGAAGAGGTCGATTTTCCTATGTTCAAAAATGATACAGCCACCCCGTGTTTCTTCGTTGAAATTCATTTTTGCTTCATGAAACTGATTCGCAGTTATCAGGCTTTCACCTTAATGTTCCCACAAGATAAAAAGACAGTTGGATTTTGAAAAAGGGTAAACTGTAGCAAAAAAGGACCAGGAATCGTCAAGCAGTCATATTGCGCAAAAATTGAGTCAAAGCTCCAATACGGTTAACAATCTTTTCTGGAATCCTGTAGGTTATGGAACAACGAAGAGCTCTGGATGTTCATCATTGCTTTTTGGCCAATTCCCGAAAAAAGAAAATCTGAAATCTGTGACACTGCCACAGCGGCGATTACAATATTGACTTAAGAAGTTGATTTACAAAACTAAGGTGCTGAACAACAGTAGCAAAAGTAGTAGCAGCAAAAACTAACCTTGTTCGATAAAAAACCTCTTAGTATTGTGCTGTCCTAGAGCCTCATTAGGACCTTAACATATTGTATAACACAATGAGGCAGAATTTTATTCAAAACAACTTCACAAGATTCCAAGTACTTCAAAATTTTTAATTTTTTTTCAAAAAAAAAGAAAAACCTTGAATTGCTTATAATATGCGGGCAGCAAACAGTTTTACCCTTGGTATTATATTATACGTAGTTATATGAGGGATATTCAATGCATCAAAGCTATTTACAAAGTGGATGAACTGGGGCTGTAAAAATCAGCGGATGAAGTATTTCGTTCTCCTGGTATATCGAATCCAGCTGGTATTGGATAAACCAAATTACCTGCCTTTTCACTTTCCTGTGCTTGGATGCCAGCCATCTTCCGTTACATAAATTGAAGGTTTTAGGGTCGGGAAAACCTTGTATTGTATCGGATGTGCCTGTGTTTTACCTTTATAATTCACTGGAGGAAGCTTATAAGAACGAAGGAAAGCTACAGAACTCCGGACTACAATATCTTCGTTTTGAGGTAAATTAATAATAATTTCTCACAACTTTTCCCGCTTCATCTTGTTTGTTCAGAAGTTGTTAGCGTATTTTTGCGGGCATATGAGATCTGTGATCTTATTGAGACTTTCTTCGATTTCTTTCTTCTGCTCAATAAGTCAAATTTTTCTGGATCGTCCTTAAAACTCTTCTCTTACTGTAGCTTCATAATAGTTCTCAGGTGCATTATTCTTCCTATTCGTAGAGCTCTGTGAGAACCTGCAACCTACCTTCCACAAGAAATTATACGGATTTTTCTGCTCGCATTAGTCATAATTAACTAAACTATTGGGATTATTAACTGGTATCTGCGTCACTTCCTTTTCGTAACGTTTCCTTGAAGTAAACTACTAATTCTAGGCACCACCAATTATGTTCGATGCACCTGTTTGCATTCTTCTTGAGTCAGAAGTCATCACTAGAATGCATACACGTGAGTTTTTTTGGCTCTACAATATCATCTATTTTCGTCTCTACAACATAAAGAATGTGAATCATTCTCAGACAGCAACCCTTTCTCATTGAACGAAGATGTTCTCTTTCCTATAACAAACCGTTGTCCAATCAAGGTACCTTTTGAAGCAGAAGAGTTCGAAGAAGTAAGTGCGTGAAATTGTTTTTGATAGATTTGCATAATTTTCGTTTTTGAAAATTGTTGATCACAAGAACTTTTCAGTTCCTTTTTGCTCTTGCACTGTTAAAGAGTGGGAGAGATCTGGGAACGTTTTCTCCTGTGTCACTTTGCAGCATATTGAAGGTATGTATTTATCTCTAGCAGACAACCCTGTAGTGCTTATTTCTGTTTTAAAGGTATTATTTATGCACAGTCTCCCCCCCCCCCCCCACCACACACATGAGCGGTCCCCACTTCGTAATGCCTAAAATCTTGCGTTTGCTTTTTCTCTCATTAAGAATCCTTATCTCGAACATTTGCTATTACAACAATCCCGTGAATTTCGCTGAAACGCTTTTGGTAGGTGTCCATTTGACTCGGGCATATATCGATTCTTGTGATCAGATGAGGTTACCTTTGATTAGATCATACCTTGTTTTCTCTCCAAGCCTAAGCGTGCCTAGGCTTTAGCTATCGCGGTGCTCTGGTGACTTGACCTGAGGGCAACTTGAGGGTCTCTGATTTGATACTATGCCTCTTACAATCAGTCACGAGAGCATTCTCGAGTAACTTTAGAGCAAGTGAAAAGGAATGTATTGATAAGAGCACACCTGTCACCGCACGAGCCTGCGGTTACGCGGTTATAGTGTAGAATAGCTCGTTTTAGTAGTACCCCACTTTTCGAAATTGTCACCAACTCAATTTTCTGTAATGAGAGAAGGTAGAAGACGGGGTAAAATAATAGTGAGTGACGTATGACAACTGTTGGTCCCTTGCTGTTGAGGGGTACAGGCCCCTTCCATCGATACCATCATCCGGAGCCACTCCCTCTCTCGAAGACGTGGACTCGCTAACTTTGCTTGGTGTTCAATCCTTACTTCCGAACACTCATACCATTTGGTCGTTCACCATTTAGATCTCCCGTCAACTCGCCGCACAAATGCATCATTGGCTTCTCTGCATTGCCCCTTATATTCCCTTGAAAATGCGATGTCGAAAAAGTTTCTGTTCTCTAGTCCACTCCACTCAACAATTAACAGGCCAAAATTATGCAACAAAGTACGTTCAAGAAAATGAATTTGAATTGTTACAAAAGGTTCCCAATAGCTTGAAAAGCTGTGTTGAGCCCTTAAAATATCTATTAGTCTCGACGGAGTTATTTCATACGGCCAATGCAGAAGTGCAAAGAAGCAGGTCCATTTCCAGCTGGCTGACTTTTTTGAATGTCCGAATCTGATGCGCTACGTCTTCTCGCATCTTAACAATCTCCTTTCTGAAAAATCTCCGTCGGATGTGTGTGAAGCCTTCGATATACACAACGACTTCAGTCAAGTTCAAAAGCAGCAGGTCAGTTTTTTTTTTCCAAAATGATTCGCATGGAGCTGAGATGGTGTGCGGGGTGGTGGTGTCGTGCTTACTACGCGCGCGGTCCGAAGATCAAATCCTGGGTCGTGAGTCGAGAGCCAACCAGCCTCCGGGGTCGGTTAATTGGTACCAGACTTGTCTGGGAGGATAAAAACACTGACTTGTACATCGGCTGGCCCCCGCAAGTCATTGTATAGGCCACATCGCATTCAAACGCCACTATGTACAAATGGAAGTAGAATGCGTGCCGCATCCCAAAAAGGGATTGATCAACGGCAATGCTTATCCTTTATGCTTTTGATTCGCATCAACAATGGCGTCAGAGGAGGGCTCTCATTCCTTGGGTTCTGGGCCATTTATCATGTTTTTTTCTTCATCCCGGCACCATTGACCACCTCTATCTTAGTGCTAATGTGCTCCTTCTACTCATAACTCCGCCTTTTTACAAATATCCGAATATGCCCTACTTCAGCGAGGATTCTTTTAATCTTACGAACATCCCAGTTAGGTTCTCATCGTTTTTTATATTCTCCTGGAAATGTATAAAAGGTACTAGAATTAATACAGGCCTATATATGAGGCAAAATATTGTTTTCACTGAAACAATCGCGTAAAATCACTTCCAAGGTTCACTACAGTGGAAGCAACTGAAATTTTTTCTTTCGAGACACGTTATTTTGATCGAATTCTACCACTGTGCTTCCCGATAAGTTAAACAAAATATTGAAATTTTATCGTATGCAAATTTCGCACAATTATTTTTTTGCGCATAAATTTATAATCCGTGGTTGTAAGGTGAGACGGCCGCGCTTGCAAAATCGTCCAGTTTCCACGCAGCAAAAAGCACCAAAACGCGCGCGTCATCAACGTGTTTAGCTACGAGCCATTGATTCAAATTTAAGTCAATGTGTCGGCTAGGAAGCAGTTATGATTGTACTGCTCCCATATATAACAAGTAAGCACAGCAGAGGGAGATTTTTCTGACTTGCTCGACAACCACTTACTTAAGGTTTTCTGTCGCTCTGTGAAAGTGAATGCACCAGGGTTTTTTTTTTACATCTTTCGATGTCACAGTTTGTTCGAAATCACAGAGATTACTAATTCTTACCAGATGGGTGTCAGCGCACACGAGCTTTTTTTCGTGAGAGGCTCCATAGTCCACAAGGAGCGCGAGGATTTCGATTGCCGTGCACCGTGACTTCCGCCTCCCCCAAATGCTCAGCACACGATGACCTCAGCATGTTTGTAGGCCAACTTATGTAGGAATGTTAACCGTCCACTCAGCGTAGGATATCTTGGATAGCATTTCTTGTGGCTGTGTCAGAGTTTTGCATCCGTCGCAGTTTCGCGCATTTCGCGAAGTTTTCGCCGATTTGCCGAAGGTTCATGTAAAAAGGCCCATCAATACTGCAAGTTGTTCCGCAGTGCCGCCGCCATTTGCTTGATAAGTGAGGTCTGAATGGATGAATTGGTTTTGATATTGTTTTAGATTATAGGATAGAATAGGGAGAATCATGAGTATTTCTATGAACTGTTAGAATTGACATTGAACAATTTAGAAACCGACGAACAGTCGTCTTTCAATCTTCACTGTCGAGCAGAATTCGCAGCAGGATTAAACAGCACGTCGCAGTATCATCGGGCACTTCCAACTCCTGTGATCCATCGCAGGTTTCGCGCAAATCGCTGAAATCAGCGAAACCTGCGACGGATCGCGGACTCTGACACCAGCCTAGAAAGCATTTCTGCTTTTGAGATGAAATTGTTTCTGCAAAAAAGCATTTACTTCACTTTTTTGTGTTAAGCATCTAGGTTGATCCCTCACTGCGCATGTCTCTATTTTCCTGAAAACTTAAAATGGGGAAAATGATATGATGTCATGTTGGGTTTTTCCTATGTCAGACTTTGCAAATCCAGCTCGCGTCCGCAGTCGCGTTGCGGTACCAGTAAAGCGAATTGCTCGCTCGCCAAGTCTGACACCGGCCTTTGGCTGTTGTGTATTTACAGTGTAGCGATAATATCCAGTCTCTATGTACTTTAAAATAAAACGAAGATTAATTACCCTTGAAAGCAAGGTAAAGAGCTACGCAACAAGAGTTGCCACTGTATCACTTCAGAAGCTTAATTTCAGATGGAACGCGAAGGCTTATGGCATTTCAACCACTCCCTTTGAAACTCTGGTCCTGTTCTTGTGAAATCTTATGGTCCGTGTAATATTTCTGTCAAGTCTTCATTCTTGTATATGATGTACCATTTATTCAAGCTGAACAGATAATTATTAATATTCTATATGTTTAAAAAAGAAATCTACTTAACAAATGTAGCCAGCGCCATTCAATAATGATGACGCCAGCAGTTAACCGGCACAACTACGCATGGAATAGACCACACTGTGGTACAGTAACAGTACTAAACATGAGGTAGCACTGTACAGCCAATACATAAACTACCGCATTTACATAAAAACCGTGATCTCTTTTGCAAATGAAAGGTGTAATGTAGCCAGCACATTCGACGAATGTCGCGTGCTTACTGCATTACATCTCCCAATGCACACGACACCCCTAATATTTGACTTACTCGGAATGAGGAAAGGTTAAAAAATCAAGTCCTACGAGACAATAAAATCTCTATGATTACGCAGTGCTGCCTACATGAATAAGTACGGTTTTATGATTAAAAACAGAGTTCATGCGTTCACAATCTGTGAGATGATCAAAACGGCAAAGCCACCATAAGCAAATTAACTCGCGATACACAAATAGTTAGGATGGAGTATCAAGCTAGTCAACCTCCATTTCTCCAGGTTGCGGTGGAACTGTTCCAGGGTTATCTCCAGCAGGATTACCATTCTCGGGGGGCTCTGCCGGCTTTTGTTCCTTCTTCTTTGGAGGTGGTGCTGGCTTCTTCTTGTTCAAAATCGGTAGCACAACTGCTTCAAATGCCTGAAAATCTCAGGTAATTCTCGGACATCACAACCACCACACAATCCAAATAATCGGATGTTTAGCGATCTCATTGAACCAGTGAAGGAAATAAGCAGAAAGTAACGCAGTTGCTACTCATTTTTTTTCGTAGCTGCCTGTAGCTCACCGCAAAAAGGGTTCTCAAGCATCGCATTGAAGTAGGTGCAGAAGAACAAGTCAAATGCATGAAAGACACACCTGTTGTTTCTGTGCAATTTCATATGCGAAAACTATAGGCGGTTCAGTTTTTGCTCTCCGTTCTCACACATTCACCGTGGGCTGCTCCTGGAGCAGGCTGCTCCGTAGAAGGAGGTGGTTGCGACTCTCCATCTTGCTCCATAGGTTGTTCCTGTTGTGGAGGCGCCTCCTAAAAAGGATCTCCTTGCCCTCCTTAAACATGACCTGAGACCAGCCACTTACCTCTACGATTTGCGTGTCGTACATGGTTGCCGAACAGATCGTAAAAATACCGTTTGGATTGATTCGAACCTGTTCAAAGAATGAGTTGTGTTCATTTGTCCCGTCACTAGCGCATTATGAGGAATGCGAAGTCAACAAAAGTTCGAATGATCTCTATAAACTTAGTAGCAACCCTTTACACATGGAAAAAGTTGAAGTTACTGCACGGGCAAAAACATCAGATGCAAGCCCTTACCTTTATCTTGACTTTACGCGGCTGACCTTCGGCATTTGGCGACACTCCAGTGATGCGCCACGAACCTGTGATGAAAAGGATTATTCTTGGTCT